CCACCGCGCAGCCAGCCAGTCGCCGAGTGCCGGCAGATGGCAAGCACCACGGAAGAACGCGATAAACTATTTACAGCGGTGCCGAAAAGGCCACCACGTTGCCCGCAAGTAAAGCCACCACCTTGGGATGACAACCGCAGGGTGGTTGTAGCCCCAGCTCCTCGTGCACGAGAAGCCAGGGTGGGTACACCCCGCGCGTGGGTTGTGTTAGAGGCACAGTTTGCTCCTGCGCTATTTCTCACTCGCCAACCTGCACAGCATCTTTTGTGCTTTTGCTCACAGGCATTTCCAGGCTGGTTTGCCGTTGATGGAAGATCATGAACTGTTGGCTTGATAGCGTTACTCAGTGGCCGCACGTTAAAATTAGCTACAACTGAACATGAGCTGTGCTGAGGCCGTTTTATTTACCAGTCGATCACACCTTTGGATGAGTAAACACTCCGCAGAAGAAAGGGAGAGAGAGAAATCAATGTTCTCCATGGGGCTCATTCACTACCTGCCAGGCCCAAAATCAATGGTGTCATTTATATGCTTTGAGCAAGACCAGCGCTGAAGCAGCGTCCTGCCACCTCCTTTGGTGCAAGGGCCAGTGGGGGCCTAAGCACCGCACATCCCGAGCCCTGCCATTGCCCTCCTCCGCACCCAAAACAACCTCGGCACCCAGCAGCCATGGCTTCTGGGGGTAGACACCACCAGCAACCCCAGGATGCTCCGTTCTGGAAACAGACCCCAGAGACCACGGCATCTCCTGCCGTACCGCCAGCTGGGCTCCGCAAGCAGCCACAGCTCGAGTCCTCGGTGCGGTGAGAGCTCCGCGGGCACCGCAAAGCGCACCCGAGGCACCTGGGAGAAGGAAGCTATTAAAGCCAGGGTGAAGAGGCAACGGGAGCAGGTATGGGATGGTACCGCAGGGAGCAAGAAACACAGCTGGTAAAACAAAAAACCAATAGACGAGAAAAGTCTGTGGTCAGCTCTGACCTGATCCTGAGGGCTGCAAGGAGCCAGTGGCGATGGCACGGCAGAAGGGCCCCACCACCTGCGCTCACTGAGTTTCGGAACAGCTTTGCTTTCTTTTTTTTTTATTTTATCTTTTTTTTTTTTTTTTTTTTTTTTTTTTACCACTCTGCAACACCATACGGAGAATAAACTGCTCTCAGCCACCGCCTGTCCCGCCCCAGCCCGGGACAGACCTGCTTTGCAAGCAGGGTGGGCAGCTGCAATTTCGGCAGCACCTCCCCGTGCCCTCACCCAGGAGGGACCACAGGCACCCTTGGTGCAGGCAGGGCGGCGAGCGGCCCCCAGCACCTGGGACACGCTGGGAACTCCTCACAGTAGCTTCTGGGATGTTCTTTTTTCAAAGAGGGTTTTCATGCTCTTATTTGTTTCATTGAATTCAGGATGTTCAGACACGCCTCGGGTGATCACTGCCGATGTAAAGGGCATTGCTGCCAAGTTGCCAATGCAACTCGGAAACTTGCCCTGCAAACTTACAAATGCATTGGAGAAGCCTTCGGTGGCGATTTGAGAAAGGGACAATTTGGGACTTGGGATAATCCCAGCTACTCGGGCTCTTTGCTGAGAGGCACTGGGAGCTTAGCGGGGACGTGCCCAGCCACCCCAAAGCTCTGCTCCCGCACCCCCGGGCGGGGGTCACAACAACCCCATGCAGCGCTACAGGCTTGGGGAAGAGTGGCTGGAAAGCTGCCTGGCAGAAAAGGACCTGGGGGTACTGGTTGACAGCCGGCTGAATATGAGCCAGCAGTGTGCCCAGGTGGCCAAGAAGGCCAATGGCATCCTGGCCTGTATCAGGAATAGTGTGACCAGCAGGACAAGGGAAGTCATCGTGCCCCTGTACTCGGTGCTGGTGAGGCCGCACCTCGAATACTGTGTTCAGTTTTGGGCCCCTCACTACAAGAAGGATGTTGCATTGCTGGAGCATGTCCAGAGGAGAGCAACCAAGCTGGTGAGGGGTCTGGAGCACAAGTCATACGAGGAACGGCTGAGGGAACTGGGGTTGTTTAGTCTGGAGAAGAGGAGGCTGAGGGGAGACCTGATCGCCCTCTACAGCTACCTGAAAGGAGGCTGTAGTGAGGTGGGGGTCGGCCTCTTCTCCCTGGTAACAGATGATAGGACGAGGGGGAATGGTTTGAAGCTGCGC